GACTGGAAAAAGTCTGGTAAGTACATGGAGAGCTGAAGCTGGAGAGATGGGTGTTAAGTGCTTTCTAGGTCACCTTGAGTAGTCCTCATCATTGAAAGGTTTTAGGCAGAGAAAACATGCTATAACTACATTCTTATTTCAGGAAGACTCTGGTTTCAGGGGGAGAATGGATTGGAGAGGAGGCCAGGGGAAACAGGAAACTGCTGCAGTAGTCCAAAGAGAAAGGCAGACTTATCCAAAGGGTGAAAAGAAGTAGGGCAGACAGGACTTGAGGATGAATGGAAGAGGAAGAGGCTTTCCACACATTTCAAAAAGGTTTCAGCAATTTTCACACTGCGTTCAGCAGTATGTGTTTGTCCTGGTATAAAGGAATTTCTTCTCAGTCACTGCCTGCACTGGACCTCTTTGCAGTAAGAGACAAATGATCACTCTATCTTTTTGCAGCTTCTAGAACATCACTCTGCCAAAATCCTAAAATCTCTGGTAGTAGAAAGAAGCACATAGTTTTAAAATGAATAAGCACAAATCAGAGAAGGAGAGAGCACCAACTCTCCTGAGTCTTTTCTTTCTTCTCAGGCTCCTTGGCCAGTTGCTCTGAGATAGATACCTTCTACCAACCACTAAGAGATGGTGTCCCAGGATCCAGTATGTTATTTCCTCATTCCACACTCACCATGAGGCAGTATGCTCAGACCTCTGTCTTCTATACTTGCCATCCTTATTTCTACTTCTAAGTGGAGAATTTTAGACCTGTTTTTTTGGTGTTGTTTGTTTGTTTTGCAAACTACATCACTGTCAGGATAATTACCCATCTCAGTTTGACATGAAAACAAAATCCATTACCTCCTTTATTCCAAACTAACCTTTTTTTGTGGTCTCAGTCACAATTCACAGCTTCATCATCTGATCAGTCACTCAAGCAAGAACCTAGGAGATTGTATTGCCCACATTTACCATTATATTTAATTTGTCACCAAGGGCTTCACCAATGTCTGCCCATTCTACTGCAGGAGTATCTCTGAACCCCTTCATCTGTGTTCCCAGGTCCACCACTTCAGTTCTGAGCCCCTGCTATCTTATCAAAGATATCTCAGTAGCTCCCTGCCAAGCCTACCATATCGCCTCCAACCTATCCTTTCCATCAGTTTGTTTATTTATTTATTTTTGTAAACACAGAATGTTACCTCCATGTATAATAATCACCAATCACTTCCATTTGCCCCCTGAAATCAGACGCCTATAACTGGGCCCTGATCTACATGTGTGGTCTACCCTCCCTGAAGCCCGAGCTTCAGTCACTAATAATAAACTCCAGTAACTGCTCATTATTTCCCAGACATACCGTGTGCAACTCCTTCTGCCTCATGGTAAAGTCCTATTCATCTCACAGGCTAGCTTCAATCTCAGAAAACTTTCCAAACTCTTTCTCCATCAAATAAAATATACTCTGTTGGTTGCAACTTGCTCCCTGTTCCAATGACCTCTTACACCTCCATTTCAGTATTTGTCACATTATCTTAGAATTGTCTATCTGGTTCTTCCACTACACATTGAGCTCCTCAAGAGCAAAAGTTATGGAGCACTCAACACAGCCTGCCTGGTGTGTGATATGTGCTCACTGCATGTCTAGGAAGGAATGAAAGAAGAATAAAGAGTAGGGAGGCATATTCCATGGGACTGCCATTACAGCCAATAAAAATAACTAAAAATAAAAATTTTAAGTAGATAAAGTCAGCCATGAAAATAAATTTTGAAGAATGACTAGTATCTGTCTCCCTCTCTCATTTCCATGCAGTCCCATCTTTCCTTCTTCAATTCCATTTAGTTCCCTTCAACTTTATATTAGCAACTTTTGAATTTCTAATGACACTGTCCTTTGGGGTCTAACTTTATTAATATGTACCTTTTAAGGATATTACAAAGCATCCTGGTATCATGAGAAAAACACTGGATAGAGAGTTGGCAAACTATGAATGCTAGGTTGTTAATTTTTTCTACAAATATTTATTAGCATGGACTATGGACTATGTACTGTTCTAAGTGCCTGCATATATCTGTGAACAAAAAATACAAAGATTCCTGCTTCCTTGAAGTTTATATTCAAGAGGGACAGATAATAAATAATAAACATAATAAATAAGTATTTTGTTAGCTGTGGATCATAAGTGCCACATTGGCGGAGGGAGTAGAGAAGATTGAATAAATTATACTTGTAAATGGGAAGGTCTCTTTGAGATGAAATTTAAGTAAGGAAGGTAAAGGATTGGCCCAATCCAGGGACCTGAGGGAAGAGCGTTCAAGCAATAGTATCAGCTAGAGCAGAGACACTAAGGGGGAATGCACATATGTGTTTGAAGAATAGCAGAAAGGTCTGTGTGGCCAGAAGATAGTGAATGGGGGGAAAATGATAAGAGAGAAAAATCATAGGGGCCAGATGATGTAGTCTCATGAACTGTCACCATCAGGATCTTAGCTTGTCCTCTGATATTGATGACCACCCATTGTGGACTTCATTGTAAGGTGCGGAGTGGCATGGTATGACTTGAAACCATTTGATGGCTATGTTTAAAACAGACTGTGAAGAAGAAAGGACAGAAGCTATGGAGCAAGTCAGAAGCCACTGTAGTGATCCCAGAAAATGATAGTGGTTCAAAACAGGGAGAAGTCACTGGTTTCTGGATATATTTTTTAGTAGAAGCAACAAGATTTCCTAGCAGATCAGGTACAGGAAGTGAGAGAAAAGATTCAAGGAAGATTCTAAGAGTTTTGTCCTGAGGCAACAGAAGAAGGGAGTTTCCATCAACTGAGATGAGGAAGGCTGTGGATAGAGCAGATTTGGTGTAAGAAGGAAAATGGAGGTTCAGTTTTGGATTTGTTGAGATTGAAATGTCCATTAGATGTCCAAGGAATACAATAGTCCCCTTTAACCATGGGGGTATGTTCCCAGATCACCAGTGAATGCGTGAAAACATTGATAGTACAGAGCCCTATGTATACTAGTGTGTTTCCTGTATGTATTTAGCTATGATAAAGTTTAATTTATAAATTAGGCATAGAAGATTAACAACAACTAATAAAATAATAGGACAATTATAATAGTGTACTACAATAAAAGTTATATGAATGTGCTGTTGTTTAGTCACACACTCATTCTCATGTCCACATCACTACACTGACATTCTGGGGGCCATTATTAAGTAAAATCAGGGTTAGTTGCACATAAGCACTGTGATATTTCAACAGACAATCTCACAACCAACATGGCTACTACATGACTAATGGGCAAGTAGCATATACAATGTGGATGCACTAGACAAAGGGATGACTCACATCTCAGGTGGTGTGGAGTGGGATGGCATGAGGTTTCATAATACTACTCAGTACAGGGCATGAATTATTTACTTCTTGGAATTTTTACTTCTTATGAATTCTTTACTTCTCAAATTGGCCATTTAATATTTTCATTCAATGGTTGACCACCATGGGAAACTAAAAGCACAGAAAGTCAAATCCTGGATAAGGGGGAACTACTATATGCCAACTATACATTGTACATAAGAGTCTTGAGTTTGAAAGAGAGGTCAGAGCTACAGATTTAAATTTTGAAGTCCCAAGTGCACAGATGGTTTTTTAAATCATGAGACTGATACCATCCCATGTATCCAAGCCAAATTAAATTATATGCTTAACTTAACTGTATTATCTAATCTCTGTGTTTCTTATTTTTCTGCTCTGTATAATGATAGACTAAATCAGTGATTTTATCTGTGTTCCATGGGGCTCTAGGGTTCCATAGAAAGACCCATTTGGATCCTGACTGTTGTCCAATTCATGAATTCTTTACTCAATTAAACCCTGCTAAATCTAATTTAAAGATTTTTTAATGATGTGAAAGCAGATTAAAAAATAATCAGGGGTGGGGTTATAGCTCAGTGGTTGAGCTCTTGCCTCACATGTGTGAGGCACTGGGTTCAATCTCAGCACCACATAAATAAATAAATTAATTAATTAATTAAAGATATTGTGTCTGTCTACAACTAATAGATATATATAGAGAGATATAGATAATCAACCAGGCATGGTGGCACTCACCTATAATTCCATCAACTCAGAAAGCTAAGGCAGGAGTCCAAAGCCAGCCTCAGCAACTTAGTGAGGCCCTAAGCAATTTAGCAAGAACTTGTCTCAAAATAAAAGAAAAATTTTAAAAAGGATAGGGATATGACTCAGTGGTTAAACATCCCTGGGTTCAGTCCCTGGTACCAATCATCATCATCATCATCATCATCATCATCATCATCATCATTATCATCATCAAATATCATTACTAACAAAAAAGAAAGAAAGGAAGACCCATGTGGATCTGAGAAGTTTGCTCTCCATTGCCTAAGTCACAAAGTAATCCCATATTTTTACAACGATAAGACATACATTTAGAGAGGAGACAAACTGATATTTGTGATGTGTACACTATAGTGAACTAGGATGTATTTAGAGGAGACTAACTTTCTGAACAAAATAATAAATTAGTGCCATATATATGTATAGCTGGACAATTGTATAGTTAATATATATTCAGTGTTTCCTCTTTAAAATATGTTTACCTGGACATCAAATTGAAAAATGAAAAGATTCCATTTCCTTTAGATTCAATTGGTTGCAGTTGAGTATTCAGAATTTCCTTTGAGTTTGTGACCAGAACAATTAGTAATTTAACTGTAAAAAAATGCCCAAATTTAGTACTATAAGAGGACCTTAGAAATATTTCAGTTGATTACCTTCCCTTTACAATAGAGAGCTGAAGCCCAAAGGTCAAAGGTCATGCTAGAACTGAAACCTAGGTCTCCAGACTTCTTGTCCTGTGCCCTCTGTAACCACAATCTGCTGACTTCTGTGCTGCTTCAAATTTACAGTAAAGGCAGAAATCAACACTGATATGTAGTCTTCACATTTTCTTAAGACATCAATTTTACATTAATGCTCTTCCTATTTTCCCACAGTTCTAAGGGTCATCCTTGCCATTGCCTTTTGCCTGGTGTCTGGCATCCTAGTGGTGCTACTCTTCACGCTCATCCGCCATGGGCCCTGTTGGCAGAGAGACGCCTATCGGAACATCTGAACAGACTGCGGAACGAGAGGAGACAAGCAGATCCCAGTTCCTGGGATACAGCCCTGACAGCATTCCAAGGATAGGCATTTGTCGTGTGGGCATTGTGCTGCCCACACCCTTCCTCTTGAACCTGCCCAGATCATGGTCTGAACTCACAGCCACCCAGGGACAGCTGCTGGACTGACAGGTTTCTTAGGACATAGCTCTGAGCAGCAGTGCAGGCTGCTCATGTAGCTAAAAAGAGGCTCTTCTATAGGGGACAGTTGTATTCTCTGACACAGATGTCCAGAGGAAAAGCAAGGAGTCAAATTCCAATCAGCCTTCCATCTGCCAAGAGCAAAGTGAGACAAAGACATAGATTAGACAAGACTTGATAATGGGAGTGTTAGACTAGTCGTAGTATTATACAAGATGATTCCTAAGGAAAAAAACACAGTAAGAATTATAAACATTTTCTTTATCAAGGTGGGCTACACACGCACACACACACACACACACACACACACCCCACTAAGAAGCAATTCCTACACAGTGTTTTATGGCTAACAGACTTCTGCATGTTTGCCTAACATACATGCATATGTATATTTATATTTTAAATGTCTTTGGAAGAGTTATTTCTCAGAAACTATAATATCAAAGTAACGTGAAAATCCATGTGGCCATGCTTTTGTTTGTCTTTTTGTTTTAGACATTAAACCCAGGGCTGCACACATTCCAGGTAAGTACTTTACCATTGAGCTACAGCCCCAGTCCCCAGTATTCTTTTTTTAACCTCCAATATCAGAACTGGATATTTTACAGTTTTGAATTTCTTTCTTTTTTTTTTTTTTTGTAATTTCTTTATTTCACTTTAAAATTGTGAGATCTTACATGGATAAGAGTTATTAATGACAGTGATGAAATGATAATATATTTTAATTGCCACAATATGTATAATTTTTTTCAATGCTGGGGATTGAATCCAGGGCCTCACACATGCAAGACAAACACTCTATCTCTAAGCTACATCCCCAGTCCTATCTGAATTTTACAAGTGGTGAGGTAGAAAGAAAAGTGGGGCTGAGGGTTAACAAACAACTGCCTCAACTCTGCACTAGCTTTGGGTCAACAATCAGGAACAAGTTCTTTCATACCTTAAGCCTTAGTTTCTTAATCTTCAAAGGAAAAATCTGGAGCAAATGATGATAGAAGTGGCATCTCGTTCTTGTGTTCTGTGAGCAATTTCTTTTTCATTTTACGCTATGGATGGGTTGTTGCCAAAACAAGCACTTCCATGGATAGTATCACTGTTAAGTTACTATGATGAAATTTAAAATTTAGCAGAGTAGCAAAATTTACTCTGAACAATTTTATTCTGCCCTGAATACCCAACCATTCAGTTGATGGGAAATCAAGGCTTATTCCTTAGTAGGGTTCTCCACCTCTTCAGGTTTGACTAAAGATCCCAGAGAGTAATCGGAGAAGTCAAAAGGGTCCACTACAACTCTGTCCACACTGGTCTCCAGTAAGTTCACTGTCCACATGGACAGTGGTCTTCTGAGGGCAGTTGGAGGACATTTTTATCATGGCTCCCATCACTACACCCTTGGAGTTCACATCCTGGGACTGCCTAGACCAACTGCTCTACTACTGAGCCACAATCTGAGCCACAGGAGCTGTTTTCTCTTACCTGACAACTTCTTATTCCTGCTGCAAAACAAAGGCCACCCAGAAAAGGAAAAAAGAAAATAAATTCTGGCTTCATCTTTGCTTGGGAAAGAGAAAAACATCTGTATCAACAGGAACAAAGAACTTGCTGTCTTGCTAGAGCAGACAGCTCTGTCAGTAAGAAGTCATAATACCTTATGCTAATGAGACTGTAAAAACAGAAATAAAAACACAAGTCATAGATTTTTCTCAATCATTCAACAAACATTGATGGAGGACCTCATATTCACGAACCTAGATAAATTATCTATTCAGATTGGATTACTAGGATATTTGGCTCCAATGACCATCTCATTTAGAACTGGTGGAACATAAAAGCTTTTACAACCTTTTCCACATATCATCTTATAATACTTTCCATGGCTAAAATTAAAATTTCCATGCTTCTACTTTCCATTGGTTCCAAGGGATTTTTCCACATCCTCCATTTCTTTTCCTTCTACCATCTCTTTAGATTACTGTAAAGAAACCTCTCAGGCTCAACTTAGTTGTTTCCCCTACTCTTTTCATAAATACTGTATTTGTTTTCCATACTTCATGTCAGAATGAAAAATCATAAGTGACAGATGACCTATAGCAATAAAGAACCCTAATGTACTGAAAAGTTTCTCAAGAAACTTCAAGAGAGGTTGTAACTCTTTCAACTGATAAAAGTTACTCTTTCATACAGATCAGATAAGATCAGTAAAATTAAAAAGATGAAACAAATTCTAGCAATAAAATTTATTTAATTCAGTATCTCTAAAATAGCATTTCAACATGAAATTGATACTTAAAAAATTTTAAAGGGATATTTAATGTTGTTGTTGTTGTTGTTGTTTTCTGGTACTGGGGATTTGAACTCAAGGATGCTTTGCCTCTGAACTATATTCCCAGCTCTTTTTATCTTATTTTGAGACAGGGTCTCAGTAAATTGCCCAGGCTGGGCTCAAACTTGTGATCCTCCTGCTTCAACCTCTCAAGTCACTCAATATTACAGCATGTACCACCATTATACTAAGTATTTAAAGTCTGATGTGCATTTTACCCTTGGAGCACATCTCAATTTGGACTAGGCTACATTTCAAGCATCAAGACACATGTGGCTAGTGGCTACCATATTGAATAGTTCTGCTTAAGACAATTAAATGATGAAATTTTTAAAGAAAATAAACTGTAATCTCTGTTTATTTTGTAAAATCCACCTTTAGATTATTGTGAAAAAAATAAAAATCATCTTTATTATGTGTCATCTTATTTTTGTGCATGGCTAAACTGATTAAAGATTTTTCTGAAATATTTTATCAGTAAACCTGACAACAGTAGTAGCCCAAACCTCTTCCAAAATTATCCTAAACCTAATTTCTTTTTATTAATTTTTTTCTTGTTAAATATTTTAAGAAAGAATTTGAAATCAGTAAATAAAAACTGCTATATTTTGAGGGGATTCCTTTTAAAAGCTTAATTAAATTTTTGATTGTGAGTAATCTATAATCAAAAGAAAGATGAATGCACATAATTAAAAAAGAGTATAAAAATACAAAATAAAAGGCTTTCCTCTCCACTTTCAATCACGAAATGCAATCTTGTTGACAATATCTGGTTTTAGTTCTTCTATTGAATAGCATTAATTTTTATGGAATAGACATTTATTTTCTGAAATTTTCATATTTTTCTCTGCTTTTATGACCAAAAGTGACATCTTCCTTTTATTTATTTTTGTCTTCATTTTCTTGTGGTAATTTTTAAATGATTCATGAGCAGTAAGCTTTTTAATTCTAATATATCCAAATATATCTACATTTCCCTCTCCTTTACCAATCAGTTGGTTGGGTATATTCAGGTTGAAAATCATTTCCCTCCCAAAACTTTAAAGCAGTATTTTGTTGGGTTGTAGCATTCAGGATTGCTGAGAAGACTCATAACAGTCTGATTCTCATTCCAATATAAGTAATCTGTTTTATTTTGCTTCTCCTGACTCTTTTAAGATATGCTTTTTATATATGGAGTTCTGAAATTTAACCAGAATATATTTAAGCATGGTGTTTTTGTCAGCTTGTTTTTGCTGCTGTGACTAAAAGAATTTAACCAGAACAATTTTAGAAGAGGAAAAGTTTATTTGAGGGCTCACCGTTTAAGAGGTCTTAGTCCATAGAAGGCCAGCTCTGTTTCTCATGGCTCCAGGTGAGGCAGGACATCATGGTGGAAGACTGTAGCTGGGGAAGCAGCTCCTGCGGGATCAGGAAGCAGAGAGAGATTCCACTTGTCAGATTCAAATATAAACCCTGAAGCCACGCCCCCAATGCCACACCTCCTCCAGATACACCCCACCTTCCTTCTACCAGGTGATTAATTCACTGATTGGGTTAAGACTCTCACAGCCCAATCAATTGCTTGCATTGTCTCACAAGTGAGTTTTTTGGGGGACCCCTCACATCCAAACTGTAATACATGGGTATTGAGTGTTTGTCAGTTCTCTGTTTAATTTTATATGGCTTACATGTGTCCTTTCAACCTAAAGATGTTTGCTTCTCCTCAATTCAGGGAGATTATGTTCTGAAACTTCAATTTCCTGGAACTATCCTCCATACCTCAACTTTTCTCTCATATTTCCACCTTTTTATTTTATTTCTTTACATGCTAGGAAATTTTACTTTCCCAAACATCAGCTTGGTCTTTAGAAAATACTTTATTATTTTTTTATTTCCAATAAATTCTTACTATTCACTAATTATTCCTTTTCAATAGTGTCTTGGTGTTATTTTATTAATACAATCTCCTCTTGAATATCTTTAAGGACACTAAAAATATTTTTCAAATTCTCTTCTACTTCCTAAATTATTTTTCCTCTAAGCACATTTGCATGAGTTTATTAATCTTAGACTTTCTCTTTCATGCTCTAGATTTTTCTTGAGTTCTTGTGAAACGAAGAGCTTCAAGGATTAATTGAGATGGTTGGTATTAGTTTTCTTTTAAGTCATGGATGTGTATTTCTGTAACAAATGTCTTCTTCAATAACTGGTTTAAAACCCTCATGTGCTAATTGCAACATCTTAGTCATTTTAGCCCAGTCCTCATTGATTGGCTTTTCTGAACAGGATGGGTTATTTTTCTATTTCTTTTTATGTAGAGAAAGTCTGGGTTGTGTTTTAGACATTGTGGATGATATGGTATGGAGACTGGGTTCTATTGTGTCTCTCCAACAAAGTTATTATTATTTTTTTTTTAAAGAGAGAGTGGGGGAGAGAGAGAGAGAGAGAGAATTTTTTAATATTTATTTTTTAGTTCTCAGCGGACACAACATCTTTGTTTGTATGTGGTGCTGAGGATCCAACCTGGGCCGCACGCATGGGCGAGCGTGCTACCGCTTGAGCCACATCCCCAGCCCAGTTATTATTTTTTTTAAGAAGCCAGTTAAAATGTCTGAAAACTCTCCCCAGTGATAAGCAGTAGTTCAAACTCACTTCACTGTTTTTTTTAGCCTTCATTCTCTTGGTTAGTTCTCCTTAGAGTCAGCCACAGAATGTTGGGGCAGAGTTTATATAGAGAGTTTGGGGTTTTCCTTCTTTGGATTTCAGTTGTTGAGGATTTCCTTCTCACTCTCAGAGACTATGGATGCCCAAACTCTGTCCTCTGGTATTTCTATCAAGCAATATTATAAAATTATTTTATCTGGATTTTAGCTATCCACCTACCCTCTGCCTCTGCATGGCCAAGACTAGAGCCTGCCCTCGTGCTCAGGACATAAAAAAATAAAACAGTGTTATTTCCTTTTTCCAAATATTGACTTCCTCCAGTATCCAATTGTGATTGCTCCCAAGTGCCTTCCACTAGTTGTACTCTATATTTTACCCAGAGGGTATATTTGTTATCTATGGAACAACGACTGTGAAGAAAATATGAAACCATCATCAAAAGTGGGTTCTCTAACAGGAATTAGAAGGGCAGCTTTGCTGTTCTGTGTAGAGTTGGAGTTAATGGCAGCAGATGCCCAGTAGTGTGACAGGAGGGAGTAGTGTGTCAGCTGGGGATACATTAAAAAATTAAATGAATTTTTCTTGGCTGGCATTTTAGTCAACCTTGTGTCACTGTGACCAAAGGAACTGACAAGAACAACATAGAGGAAGAAAAGTTTATTTTGGCTCACAGTTTCAGAGGTTCAGTTCACCGTTGGCTATCTGTATAGCTCTGGGCCCAGGTGAGGGAGAACATCATATCAGAAGGGTGGGGTGCAGGAAAGCTGCTCAGGTCATGACATCCAGGAAACCAGAGAGAGCATGCCACTCGCTGGAACAAAATATAAACCCCAAAGTGATACCCCCAGTGCCCTACTTCCTCCAATCACACCCTGCAGTTACCATCCACTTAATCCATTAGTGGGTTAATGTCTGATTAGGTTACAACTCTCATAATCAAATCATTTTGCAACTTTCGAACATTCTTGCATTGTCTCCCCAAAACAGCTGGTATGAGTGTCTCTGTATGTATGTATAGTGAGTGGAATGGCCTTAAAATTGTTTCCCTCCATCCGTTTCTCTCTCGGAAACCACAACCACATTAGGAGTCCTCACCAAAAAACACCTCTTTTCCACAGAGAGCACTTGATCTGAGAGTCATCCCCTCTGCATATGGAGATAGGAGTGGGATGGCAGACTAATAGATGCATTCTCTATTTAGTTATCCTGACATATACTCCATAGTTCCCTAATGCTGTGTATGCTAAGCCAATCTGCACGCTAGGAAGAGCCACATTAATCTTTGGTAGGTTTGACTGTCATTCCACTATCGTGACTTTTTCAAGAGTTCAATCATATCTGCTTGTCTTTTGAAGAATTCCTCAAAATGTATTACTCTTCTAGCATTGCCATTTCATTCTTATTTTGAACATCTTTCCTATTATTTCAGCAAAACATTGGGAAGAATGGAAGTGAAGTGCAATAGATCTTTTTCCTCTAAACAGGAAACCCAGAATTTATTTTTCTACCAATTGGGTCTGTAATTGCATTTGTCAAAGTTAAGAAAAAGAGCCAAGCCATTTGGCAAAGGGAGAGAAACAGACATAATACTGTGTAAACAATTTAACTTTTTCTCACAAGCATCAGTTTAGTTCCTGCCTTTAGCCTTTGGCAGGATCCACTGTTTCTATCATCTTTTTTTTTTTTCCTTAACATAATGGGTTATTTTCTATTCAGTAAGAGAAAT